ACGTTACGTTACGTTACGTTACGTTACGTTACGTACGTACGTACTACGTACGTACGTCGTACGTACGTTACGTACTACTCTACTACTCTACTCTCTACTCTCTCTCTCTCTCTCTCTCTCTCTCTCTCTCTCTCTCTCTCTCTCTCTCTCTCTCTCTCTCTCTCTCTCTCTCTCTCTCTCCACCCACACACACACAAAAAAAAAAAAACACATTTTTAACGATTTACAAATTGGCAGCTGCGTAATCTTCCACAATTGGATTGCTTATTAATCACACAAAGCCTGGACGATCACTGCCATGTGAAGACTTTGAGACCATTATCGGAGCTGCTCCCTGATTTGCCTGTCCTATCGACCCCCAATGCCGAGACAATCCTTAATTCATTGTTCAGAAACGTAAGCTACCATTGTTACTTCAAATTTTGTACTTCTATTTGTTTGTCATATTTCAGCATATCTTGGACATTTTTAGCATTCCAATTTTAGTTCAAATAGCTTTCTAGACATGGAATCCAGGAGCTTAATGTATATCATAACTTTTTCTTCTTCCTTGTAAGTGCTGCCTCTCATTAATTCTTGCACAAAATTATTGGTTTTAAATATGGTTATACGTCTTGTGGAAACGAGAGAATCAAATGTTCTTGCTCCTGAAACTTGTTGGGGAATTCCACTAAGTGTAATTTTATTAGGGTGGTTCACTTCTATTTGTTTGTCATATTTCAGCATATCTTGGACATTTTTAGCATTCCAATTTTAGTTCAAATAGCTTTCTAGACATGGAATTCCGGAGCTTAATGTATATCATCAACTTTTTCTTCTTCCTTGTAAGTGTTGCCTCTCATTAATTCTTGCACAAAATTATAGGTTTTAAAGATGCTTATACATCTTGTGGAAACGAAAGAATCAAATGTTCTTGCCCCTGAAACTTGTTGGGGAATTCCACTAAGTGTAATTTTACTAGGGTGGTATGACAGTTTTCCTTCTTGATAATGGAATTACCGGGATTCTCTGCTTTGTTATTTTCCTTGAATTCTTCTACTGATGGGGTTTTCTCAGAACTCATTGCCTAGTTATTCCTAGTACTAATTTCGGGTTGTGTTTCTTATAAATATTATTGGAGCATGTTCCCCAAAATAATTTTTTTACTTGGAAAAAACAATATCCCCAGCCCAGCTCCACATTCTGGAGAATTTGTTCAAATTGGGTAGAAGCTTTAATCCTCTTTGAATGACAGTGGCATGTATTTGGAGTATGTCACTACATTAGCTTTATCAAACTGTAATTGTATCCTGTGGTATAAAATAAATCTACACACTTTAACAACATAGAAAGATCACTTGCAAGAGCTAATTATCTGTGGAAGATCACTTGCACAAATATACATGCATAAATGATATTCTGAGGTTCCTATATGATGGTATGAAAATGACAGCCCCCCTACGTAATGAAGGAGTGGATAGTTTGCCCTAATGGTTTACGCTAGGGACCTAATTATTTAAGATTAGTGATCTCCTATTCACAAATGAACTAAGATGTGAGTAGGAGGTAGACGGGTCCAACAAAAATGAGATCTACAAATTACTCACGAGGAGGATTTGTATTTCTGATGTGTAAGCAGTGATCTGACGAATGTATTTCTGCCCTTTCCCAAATATACCAAGGTAAGACTGTGTGTTTTTAATGAACAGTTTAGAGAAATAATAACTATTAATGAAAGCCCATATCTCTTTTCATGGTCGATATCTACCCTAAACTGAGGATTTCATTTACATTTGATGAACCTTGACATTTCTTTTCTACACCTACATTTACAACCTGGATTTACATTGATGTTGTTCATTTGTTTCCCATGCTAAAAATCTCGCAGTAAACCTTTTAGCGGGTCACATTTTATCTAAGTTGAACATAGCAGCTGAGGTTCCATTCTCTTTTGAGAAATACCTATAGTAGGCCACATTCTCTAATCCAAAGCCCACCATAGGGAGTACAACCAATCCTCCTTTTTCTTTCTAGGCCATTACACCCAAAGCCACCCCTTATCATCCTTGCTCTCTCTAGGTGAGAAGTCCATACTTTTTAATTAATTTCTTTAGGTTACAGCCCTCAAAACCATCTCTCTCTTTATCTCTCTGTTGAGATACACACACGAAGACACCCATTATTTTCTAGGTTCAGCATATCCGTACTCCCTTTCTCGCTCTTGATCATTGTCCTGATTCTTCCTCTTGGTTACATTCAACTTCTCTCTCTTAGAGGCAATCAGTTCTCTGATAATTGCTAGGATCCCCCAACCTTTGTCTCGATCCCACTCCAAAAAATCTCTCTCTGGATAGGGATCTCGATTTTTAAATTTTGGGATCTCGATCCCCACCTTAAAGACCAAGATAACACCCAAACAGATGGTTTTATAGCCAACTAGAAATGCGACTATGCATTTAATATAGTTGCAATGCTTGCCTGCTAAAAATAAAGAGATCCCTACTTTTAAAAGTATGTATTGGCCTAGACTATATACTCTTTAAGGTTGGGTGCAAAATTCCTAAAAAGATAGGGATCAAGATCCCTAACAATTAGGGTTCTCAATTCCTAAGATATCCATGGTACTAATGACACTCCCAATCACAGGGACGATCTAGCCTTTCATGATCCCCTCTTCATGCCCCTTGCCTCTCTAAGCCATGCCCATACAAACCTTTTTCAGAATAGTAGCAAAGGTAAGAGTCTTCCTTATGCAAGACAAGGAGATCCAGTGGGAACTGTGTGACTTTCAAAGATGGTTCCCAAATTTGTAATGGTTCCCGTTTGTCATGTCGCTTGCTTCCGAGTAGTTTGCATAATTGTTATACATGGTTTCTTTTAGTTTCACATGGCTCTCGAAATTGGGAAATTAATCAAAATTGCCATAAGAATGATCTATTTAACATTTTACCCATTTGCAACTATTCCAACTTATGATCATGTGTAGTTTGATGGGTACTTTGGAATTAAATCAAATGATAATGGTAGGATGTTGAATGGTTCATCTCTTATGGGTATTTGGATAAATTTCTCCTCTAAATTTAATATAATAATTTTTGTTTCATTTTGAGGCCAAAGTAGACTTATTGCATGTTTTAAGTGGCAAACATAGGACTTGATCATTCGTTGTGCAAGAATGTCTCTGGTGTATACAGGAATGACCTCATCCACATACAAGCCACTCTCTAAATATGGAAAATTGCTGGCTGAATGTCTATCATTTCCATGCATGTTGGCTCGTTCATTTCCTTTCCTTTGCATTAATTGATTTGAGTCTTTTGATATCTTTTGAAAGGCTCATTGTCAAAGCTGATTTTCAATGCATGCAATCTTGACAACTTCTCATTTGCTTTTGCAATGCAAATCCCAAAAACTTGTGTTTTCATCTCATGAGCTTGTGTGCTTGGCACTTAACATCTTGTTTGTGAATTCTTCATCTTTATTGCATTGAGGCTTGATCATTTCATCGATGGGTTTGGGTTTGGGTTTGGGTTTGGAGGTATTCCTCATCCGTGCACCCATAAAACTCATCATTCCTTCATCAGAGGGATGCCACTTTCATTTTAGGTTTGATTAGCTGGGAACTGTTTTTCTAAGCTGTTTGTTAAAAGCCGACTGTTTTACTTTTGGAAAGTGTAGATATGCACTGGTTAATCACCACTTAGGTATTAGATATACAAACCCTCTTCTTGGGTTATTTGTAGATCTGATTTTGGTTGGACATGTACAGATTTCCGTGCTCAAATAAAATACAATTAAGTCCCTAGGCCTGATCCCTGGCGGGGGGGGGGGCAACATTTTTATTTGATTTAATCTCCCCTGGAGTGCTGTGATCCTTCCAGGTTTTTGTGTAATCCCTCAGGGTGCGATATCCAGAGGAGTTATCGTCTGAACTCTGCAATTTTAAACTTTGAAAATTCATAGTTGTTTAGCAAGGATTGCCTTTACTTGCCCTGCATACTTCGTAAATGCTGTAGTAACAAACCCTTCTTGGGCACTAGAACAAAGCAAATATTGCATGTTATGTTTCCTTGTTATTCTGTGGATATAGCACTTGGATGCTATGTCTTAAAAGCTGATGCTATGTTTTTCAAACCAGTGAGTGTTTATGCTTCAAATCCAAGCAAACATTTAGCTTTTCTGGGCCTCAGTGTACCTAAAGGAATGAGTGAGAGTGATACTAAATCTTAGGGGCTTCCATAAGCCTTTCCTTTGTTGGATGCATATACCTTTTTGTAGTGCTCATGACACTTTTTTCCTTAGGATCTCTCTTTATTTTTCTCATTTTATTTTTTTTATCAATGTTCAAAAAGGCGTACGCGGCCGCCTAGGCACTAAGGTGGCCGCCTAGGCGGCCCAGGCCCAAAGGCAACCTGTGTTGTCTTTTTTTTTAAAAGTTGGATTCCCCCACCTCCCCCATTTTATTATATATGTTATATAATAATTACGAATTAATATTATTTTTTGGTTTACCAATAAATTAATTACTATCACATGCAAAAAAGCATTTTCGATAAATTAATAATTTTGAATTAATATTATCTTTTGGTTTACCAATAAATTAATAATTACTATTGACATGCAAAAAACATTTTTGATAAATTAATAATTACGAATTAACATTGTTTTTTGGTTTACCAGTAAATTAATTATTGTTACATGCAAAAAAGAATTTTCGATAAATTAATAGAATTAATATTTTTTTTTGGTTTACAAATAAATTAATTACTATCACATGCAAAAAGCATTTTCGATAAATTAATAATTATGAATAATATTATCCGTAATTATTAAGTTATCGAAAATATTTTTTGCATGTGACAATAATTATTAATTTATTGGTAAACCAAAATAATAGAATTAATTTGTAATTATTAATTTACTGAAAATTCTTTTGCCATGTAACATTAATTATTAATTTTATGGTAAGCCAAAAAATAATATTAATTCGTAATTATTAGTTTATCAAAAATACTTTTTGCATGTGATAGTAATTATTAATTTGTTGATGAACCAAAAAATAATATTAATTCGTAATTATTAATTTATCAAAAATACTTTTTGCATGTAATAATAATAATTAATTTATTGGTAAACCTAAAGATAGTATTAATTCATACTTATTAATTATCAAAAATACTTTTTGCCTGTGATAGTAATTAATTTATTGGTAAACAAAAAAAATAATATTAATTTATTACTATTAATTTATCGAAAATTCTTTTTGCATGTAACAGTAATTGTTAATTTATTGGTAAACCAAAAAATAGCATTAATTCAAGCTTATTAATTTATCAAAAATGCTTTTTGTATGTGATAGTAATTAATTTATTGATAAACCAAAAAAAAATATATTAATTTGTAACTATTATTATGTAGTATATACAATAAAATGGGGGAGGTGTGTGGGATCCAACTTTCCAAAATAAAAAAGACAACACATGCCGCCTTTGGGTCTGGGCCCCCGCTTAGGCGGCCAACTTAGTGCCTCAGCGGCCTAGAGCCCAAACCACCTAGGCGGCCGCCTATGCCTCTTTGAACAATTGGGCAAAGAAGATGAATGCATCTTATGCTTCCTGTTCTGGATTTTCTTAGAATGTCCTAGAACCTCTATGAATTTCTCACCATTTCGTTTCCTTTATTACCTAAAAGATTTTGTGGCTTATACCTAATTATTTATTCATTCTTTCTACATTGCTATTCAAAAAGAATTATCGGATTATATGTGATGTTTCTCAGAATTTTGGCCTGCTGTGCCATGCTTGATTTTATTTACTTTCATCTTTACAGTGAAATGGGCATGCGATGTCTCTTTTCTGTTTGCTAGCTGGCACATAGAAATGCAATGGATTTCAGAGACCCATCTATGGAACATGTGATTCAATTCTTAGATGGAACTCTCGCTTAATCCTAGTTACAGATGCAAGTACCTACTTATCAATTAAAATAAACATAACAAATACCTGTATCAACCTTCTAATGCAATATTAGTAATACCTATTTACATTTGAAGGTGTCATGACCGTTTGGCTGTTGATCTCTCTATAGATGTAGGCTACTTCATTCAATATGCACATTTTCAGTTTTCAAAATACTACATGAATTTAAGCTTGGTTTGCAAGATTTTGGTGCCTAATGATATACTTAGTTCATAGGCCCTAGTTCATTCTATATCTTAAATTTTTAACAATAAGCAAGATCTGCAGGTGACTTAATTTGTGAAAATTTGCAGGTAACATACCTGGAACCTGGACAAAGTACTGAACTGAAAAGCCGAAAGGGATCAAAGGTCACCGTTCTTGCTTCTGCTGGGCCAGTTCTTGGCCCTCCTTGGCAGCGTCCAGAGAATGGGTAAAGTTCAATTTGTTTTCTTTTTTATCTTTTTTGACATTTTAACAGGTAGGATGAACCCTTAATATCACATTGTGGCCGACCACCCAGGCCAAGGGCCATTCTTTGGAGTTTGGTGTTTGTTTCCTTTTGTTTTCTGTAAGAACTTTTTTTAGATTTGATTATTAATCATTATCTGATATGAGGTGCTTTCTTAAGTATGTTAAGAGGATAACTGTTATTAGGAGTAATGAGTGATTCCTATCCCCACCCTTTTCAAGTTCATTTCAATTAGTGTTTTAATGCATTCCAGGTACTTCATTATTTCTGAAAAGCACTTAACTCTTTACTATGAGCCGCACTGTGTATATGACCAATCATTTCTACAAAATGAACATGCTGATATTATTGTTACACCTGTTATTAAGCAACTTCTTCCTGCACTTACTCTGGTATCGGGCCAAGAAGATGCAGTTGAACTAGCAAAGTTATTGCAGGCCAGGTATTCTTCTATCCAGGTGCCCTACTTAGAACATAGGATTTTTCTTGGTAATGTAAATAACTTGTTTACTTGTGTCAGGTTCATTGTGCCCATGAAAAATGGAGATCTTGACAGTAAAGGACTTCTCTCTAGAATCATCTTTGCCGAAGGCACTATGGAATCATTCAAGGTGAGACCTATTCTTCATTGATACTGAAAATTCACTACATAGATGAAGATATGCTAGAACTTTAGTCAAATGATCTGCAGTTAGGATTATTTAATCTTTCATATATTATGAATATTCTTTTACTGGCACTGTAAAATATCTTAACAATCTGTAAAAATGATGAAATAAATGCATCAGGAACTACTACTCAATTAAGACCCGAATATTATATAAAGTTACTCTTATTGTTTGCTAAATCAAACTAGTAGCCTTCATAAGCACACAATTACCATTACATTGGGATGTTCCATGAAAGTGACTATTACTTGTGATCTCATAGGTGGTGTCATGTTACACCTTTTTTAACAGGAGTCAATCCATCACCCAAATGAGTCTTCAATATACTCAATTCCTTGGTTTAAAATCTTCTTCACACTTCTTTATAGAATTCCATATTGTCACTAGATAATGCAGCGGCGGTGGCTCAGCTCAGCGCCCAACCTAGAAATTTCGGTGTTTTTGGACCGAGGCAGAGGTGCATGTAATATCTGATGGTTTCTATAATTTTTCCCTATGTGGGACTGCTGTGATACTTGTTTTTCTGTTCCAACAGTCTGGTTTTGTGTGGAGATTTTAAACATTCAAGTATCTATATCAGTCCATTTCAGATCTTCGGACTGTTTATTTTAGAACTTTCCTAGTTGAGGGATACAAGACCTTTTCCCTGTTTATCCATTAGGATCATGCTGACGTCTGATGTTATCAATTAGCTTGTTAAGTCTGGAGCACTGTTTTTAGAATCGACCGAGGAGACTCGGACTAGGTCGAGTTACTTGGCCTCGCCCTCGGCCTATGGGCGAGGCCGAGTACGACGTTCCGATTTTATATATATTGAAAATATTTCCCTTTATAATTATATGCGGTGAAGTGGCCTTTTTGGCTGTTATTTAAGCCTCAGCATTTTCACGTCCTAAGTTCGAATCCCACCAGGCATTGCCATATTTTTTTTATTAAAAATAGGCATTTCTTATTTTTGAAAAAATAAAAATAAGCCCGGCCTTATTTTATGAAGAAGTATGCATGTTAACTATGGGGTTCAATGGCAGGATTCGATACCGCAACCTAATAAAGAGACCCCACACCCTTTACCCAATGTGCTACTCAAGCGTTTGTATTAGACATAGGTATCTTATTATATATATACCTTGTTTGCCTTTGTTAGGCTCTTTGTTTTTAACAAGTCATGAACTTGGCCAAGTTACTCGAACGCGGCCGAATAACTCGTCTCAGCCAAGGTCTGAGTACCTTGGCGAAGTCGATTTTTTGAATACCACTTTGGAGCTAGAAATTTTTAGATGACTTGTGCCATATATATGAATCGATGGCAGTAACTAAGAAACTATCTGATCACAATTAAGAAGAAACTTGCAAATTACTGGTCAGAAAACTTGCAGGCATAGAAAGTATCTGTCCTTGTAGTTGCATAAAGGACCTATATCAAATTTGTAGTGTGTTTGGGCAAGTCTGTTCGCCAATTTGTTGATTAAGAAAATTGACGTGCATTTCATGCAAAATGGAAAACAGTGGAATTATTACATCCAGAGAGTTCAAGATTGTGAGAGTTCATTTTTCTTTATCAAAATATTCATATATGTTCTTTGTTTTGGTTCTTATGAATGTGTTTTGTCATGATTTGACCAAAGTGTCTCACTATGTTGACAAATCTCCAAGTATCATGTAATATGGGTGGTCTCTATGTCATAAAGAGTACGGTTTTTTGTTTTACTCGTTTACAATTTATTGATTCAGTTCGACCTGGTACTCTCTCTCTCTCTCTCTCTCTCTCTCTCTCTCTCTCTCTATATGTAGTACGTGTAGTGTCGTCGTACGTACTACGTACTACTACTACGTACGTACGTACGTACGTACGTACGTTACTTACTACGTTAGTTACGTTAACGTAAC